TATGTGGTGAGGCTGCATGCGAAGTATGTGTGCAATGCTCATGCCTGTCTGGCCTCGTCGGTCACCAAGTTAATACTCATTTTTGGCTACATAGTTGCCGCTTGACGATGATTCAATTTTTTTCTACGCTCAAACTCTCTATTTGATTTAATATCTTCAATCCTTGATAATTTCGGTAGTTTACTTTCAACGTGTGTCAGAACATGTTTAGGTTTTCTAGGAAAAAAATTGTGATTTTTTCACCGAGTGTTATCGCGGACGTGACCTAGAGATTCAGTGGAAATTGTTGCCAGTTATACCGGCGGCCATCGCCAGCCAGCCATTCAGCGACAAATTACATAGGAGCTACAATTTTTTGAGGGTACGTTTGATTTTTTTGTTACCGCCAACGCTGTGCCGCGATGTACAGAAATGGCCACATCAATATAATATTTTAATTCGACATTTTACTCGACGTGAGTTGGCGAGCAATATTTTATACGACTCAAAACTTCAATGGTGAAACACGAATATGTTCTCTCTTATATTATCATGCATAGTGCGGATGCTTTTACAAGTAATCATGTGCAAGTTAGTTATAAAAGCCCCAGCAAAGCTAAGGTTCACCTACCAGTGATGTTATTTCAACTCCAGTGAAAATCAGTAACGCTTTGTCATAATGCGCGCATTTATATCATGATATTCCTCCAACAATGACACGTTCAAGGATTGTATGCCACTGATAATATTTATTAATTTGTACCGGATCTTCTCTTGTAGCTCAGCGATGAGGAACCGACCAGCCTCGGTCACCTTCATCGTCTCAACTGAATGTTTAGGCCAGCGTCGTTTAGCCTGAGCTGCTACGTTGCTTAGTTCAAAAATATTTCATTATTCTTCATTTCTCCCTGACGTGGCTGATGTTCTTAACGATGAACTCAGCATTTATCCGCATTTATTCTTGTTTCCAAAACGCCTAAGAAAAATGCCCTACTCCAGCTGAGCAAACAAACTAGCTCGGGCGCAATTCCAACTTCTGCACCTCACGGGTTCAAAACAACTCTTGGATTATGAGCTTGTCTGACTGGGTTAAGAAGTCAAGCTCTCCCGACACTGCAGACATGGCGGCAAGGGCGCAAAAAATTGCTATACAAAGAGAGTTTGCGGCTATTTATATATATAGTTGATGTGTCAAGTGATAACCATTTATTGAGCGAGTAAATATGTATATTGAATTTGTATGATAATAATTAAATTGTTAAAAGCTCAAAAATTGTTGGCTACTTATTTTACGTGATGCAGAAAGGCGATAATTGAATACAAATGAATTTTCTTCGTCGTCAATGTGCGGATAAGTTCACAAAAAACTATTCAATAGGTTACTGAAAAAATCAGTTATTGCCGCGTTCAACGAAATGCAATTCTTTAATTTCGTTATCTCTGAGATAAGATAAGAATGTGACTGAGAAGAGGAGTCATGAGAGCGCGCGACCAGTCTACTGCTGCTGTGGCTGCCGCCCGCTGCGTCGTCCTTGGCTTATATATATAGTTCATTATACAATTCAATAAATTTGTGCGAATGATTTTAATGTATTACAATTACTTTAATTTATTCGAATGACGAAACATCGCACCTTGTGTTAATAAATTCCTAATTTATTATTTCATGCAATTAAGGTATAAATGAAATTTTTGAGACTAAATCTTGAATTTTAGGCCTACTTTCATAAGTAGTGGTTACAAAAATGTACATAATAACATCGTTTAGTCATCTTTTAAATATTTTTTTAAGTTATGCCAAAATATTTCCAGCCCTCAGACAACATCACTGAACGCTCATCTTCTTATTGATGAATGATAATAATTTTAAATTACGCTGCTTAACGTTAATAGAAATCACAGTTTTCAGCCCTGATGGCTTACAGTTCCATTCTGATGTTCTGGCGAAGGCTTACGGAAGGTTTGCCTAAATTTTCGGATTGCACGTCTTGGAGCCGCAATGTTGCTTCATCAAAACCTTTCGCAGATACTGTGAGTTTCTTTTGTATAGAATCCTGACCAGAATTATTGTTTTTCATGAGATATCCTGTGAGTAATTGGGGGCATATTTTAAACCCGTTGTAACGATATTCACTGTGCACTTTTGGTAATAGAATTAACGTGTATCAATCGCTAAATTCTTCATTCATTTGAGTGCACATTCCTTTGATGTACCTAGATTCCCCAACGACTTTCCTACCAGAAATTCATGGTATTTAGCTGACAAAAATCTCTTGGAAACGTTTTAGAGTGAATATGAAGCCTATTTGAATTTTATTTTATAGTTTTTATGATTATTCGCCAAGCTTTCCACTTAAAGTTTTTTCACTTTCACGAATCTGGCCTGATGAATTTTATCGCGTGGTCTTACAACTGAACCTGAACCATAAACTTCATCTTATTTCACAAATCCTGTTCTATTTCCCATCTTTTTTAAGACTTTTACCCCGGATTTTTACCATCTCCTCATTCACGTCTGCGCCGTCGAAAAGAAAGTGGAACTCCAAGTCTCATGTCGGCTGCAATATCGATGTCTGTCTTGGGACTCAATGCTCCCAATCCTGCAGACCCTGAGGATATCTTCGATTTTCTTCTTTCTTAATTACGCCTCAGCTGACGGTTTTATTCAGTCCACGGCTCTTAAGTTACTCTATTTCATCAAGATGTTACGAGCTTCTCTTGATTGTTACTCGAGTTCAAGCTGGGGTTCTATTCAGTTTCTAATCGTCGAAATTTTTGCGTTACATGTACACGAAAATTTTTCATCAAGGTCTTTCTTTTGCGTCTAAGCCGACGCTTTTATTCTCGACTCACGCGGTCCGTTCCTCTAATCAGATCTTTGATGAATTATAACAACCCTCTGCGCTGATATCACGAGTCACCATTAGTTTGATATCATGCCACTTAAACTGCATTCAGTTTCATTCTTATTCAAGTCACGGCCTCCGCATTCCCTTTTTTATTCATGCCACAGTCTCTCACAATATTCCTTTCTTCTCAAATTCTCGCCGCCAGCGACTGCTTCGAATTCCGTTCCTCTATCTCGAGTGCGTCTCATTGCCCGCCTGACGTGCGTGGGCTCTTTTAAAGCATAACGGCCTCATTTAAAATTAAAGCCGGTCCTTTGCCACAGATCGTAGGTTTTTGCGCGGCCACCGACAAATCACCCTTGACTGTCATCAAGTGTGCCTTGCCTAATAATGCCAGCGATGCAGCATCTGCACCTGACGCATTAACGAGAACTTCTCCGTTGCCATCGATATGAAAAACAATGCAGATAAGCATTTCCATGCATGAACGAATGCCCTCCACTGAAATGAGCGTATTAAATTCTTCCAAGTGTGAGATTTTGGGGATGTTTTTTTATTCATTTGCAGTCTAAAAAATTTTGTCGTTTAGATATCGAATTTTATAGGCTAAACAATTGATTGTTGCGCGAGATTTTTAGATGATGGCGCAGTCTGCGAGGTTTATCGCATTTCGAGAAATTCTCAATCTGACTTTTTCCAAATACTGAGCAAAGCTTTCAGATCACCATACTTATTCGTTATTGAAATATTCCTGGGCTTTTTATCAACAAATTTTTCTCGTCAGTAAACAAACTTTTACTCAAATGATCGTTCAATTTATGTTCGAACCCAAATATGCCGGGTCGTACATGCATCTTGCAAATACATTCTTGAAAGTTCATGTTTCAAGCCTTGGAAATATCTGAAGACTGAGCATTGTAATATGCTTTCAACTTGCATTTTTGTCTTACATTTGGTTCCGGGAAATCCATTTCGAGATGAGTTTATTCCTGAAGTAAGTGGCGTTCGCATCTCGTCCGCCGACGTGATTCTTTTATACGCGTCGTCATATTCCTAGGCCGCTTCGAAGCCGCTATGCGCAACTCTTTATGGCAGGTCATCTCCATTCATGTCACTAAATAATCTATGCCATTGCTCGTCCTGCCACGTCAACGGAAGACAAATTTTTTCCAGTCCTCTGTGGCTTTTTAAGCCCCTCGCCAAACTTTGAGAATTATGCATGCCTCGAACTAAAATTTTCCTTGGATTTTCAAACAAGCCTCCTAACTTTCTCGACGTGTTCTTTCTTGTTGCGGGAATATAGGGGGCCTTGTTTGCAGCGTTTGGAAAGGCAAGAAGCGTTTGAAGCGGAACGTTTTCTAAACTTTGTTTGTTCGTATTATTTTTAGTGATAGCGGGCTTCGGGTAAAGTAAATCCCATGCACGACTGGAAACTCAGAGAGCCATAATTTTAGTGTCAATTTATTTGTTCGGCTAGTTTTATTTATTTAATGTAAGTTATTATTACTTTTTTGCTAATTATATTTTCGAAATTTACACAAATACTAATCTATGTTCTCTTTTCTTTCCCATCTTCGCGTTTTTGGACGAATGTTCCAACGATCGTCTTCAAACCTTCACATCTCAACCTCCTTCGGCGTCCATCATCTTCGCCTTCGTCGTGTGTCTCTTCTCCACGGATCGTTCGTCTTCTCCCTCGCCATGCTCGCGATTTGATAACATTATTACATGCTCTGAAATGTTCTACGTACGCACTTTTTGCAATATCCCTACAATATCTACAAATTTAACGAACATCTATGGCTGCTTAACTCTTTTTTATTCACCGACTCCTTAATTCTGTCTTGATCCGATTTGCCAAATACCTGCACCACATTCAACCACTTCTTATCCACATCGACGAATCTGCTCACTCTGAACGACTTGTGCTCGACCATTGCCAATTTGTTTGTTCTTTTCACCGAATTTTTAATAAACTTTCCTACAAATCTCTACAATCAACCTTCGATTAAATTGAATCGACCTATAAATCTCTCACTACTAACATTGATGAAATGACACGAAAAATTCGAAAACGAAACTCATGGGAAACTTCAAAAAACCTTCATGGACTTGTTCTCACCCGGCTATTCTGGCATCGATGTTTCTTCATGAAAAAATCTGGGCCTGCAGATGGCTTTCTTCCAGAATCGTTCGCTGTCTCTGGTGGACATGTACATCGACACCAGCGAACCCACAGAAAATGTTGGGGAAATTCAGTTTAGCCTGGAGTACAATTTCAACGAGATGACCCTCATCCTACGGATTATGCAGGTAAGAGATCTTTTTTTTAATTACTTACCCACGTCAGGAACTTGGGGAGGCTTTCTATTTTTTACAGTTTTGTATGAGTGCTGATGATGCATCTATTGCATACATAAACAATTTGGGAAAAATAATCGATTTTTGATTATGGTTAAACGAAATCCGTGGATCGTGCAGGTCGTTTTTTGTATTCTAGTATATGTTTTGTATTCAATTGCATTGTATTCCCTCAATTCCCAGATCTTATAAACTTTTGTATTGTTATAAAATACTAACCTAAATTTTGAAAACTATCCTCCTGAAATTACTCGAATACTTAAGTTAAGGACGGAAAATGTTCAACGATCATAATGAACGAATTGGCAATTTCTTCTCAAGGCAGTTGAAAAGTTTTTCACGCCACATAATCGCGACTGAGTTATTTTTCGCCTCTTAAAAATCGAGATTTTTAAATGTATTCTACTTGCTGATTCATTGCATTAAACGGACAAAGATGGCAATTATAATTGTTCACAATTTAAACGATATTTTGTGCGCATGGGCTCTCATAATTTCTTCAGTACAGAAGAAGTTTGTATTGTAAGAGGTAATCTCCGTAGTATATGACGTGACGTAACCAGCTCTCTGACAGTGAGTAAAATGTTTATCATGAATTGCGATCGCGAATTTTATTCTTCTGCGTTTTAAAATCTTTTGGATTCGATGACGTCAGCTACATTTAACACATTTACAGCGACGCACTCATGAGCTATTCACATTTCCTATGAGATTAAAAATTCCAACCGATTAATTTTCTGCTGGCAGCACATCTCGTGCTGAAATGATACGATGTCGCATCCTCTGAAGTGGTGTCCAGAACAACGTGCCGCTCGCGCTATAATCCTTGTCATCAAAGCTTGTGGGTTTTAGATATGCTTCAAACGGCTGAACGCTCTGCTCTGCCTTTGAATTTGACGCCATTTTAGTCATAGGATTTACTTACATCATGTTTATTCTGTCGTTCTCTTATCTATTCAAGTATTTGGTTTATTACGTTTATTCTGGAGCACCTCGTTCGCAACCCTTGCCTGGTTTGCTCAACAGATTAAGTCAGATTACGTTGAATTTGCTGAGATTTTTAGCCGACACATGGACCAGCAAAGATGAATCCTGCTGTTATTGCGCTGCCTATTCTTCATGCTGACACTGCCACTCAAATGTAAATGCTGGTGCTAATCTTCTGTTCGAAGCTGGTGCTGCACTTCATGTTGGAATTACCATGCTGTTCAATGTACATGCTTGTGCTACAGTAGTGTACATTCTAACACTACCCTGCCGTGCGATGGACGTGCTAGCTTTACTATGTTATGCAATATTTGTGCTAGAACTACAAAGCTGTTCAATGCATATGCCAGCACTGCCGTGTTCCTAGTGGCTGTCAAACTTTTTCACCATGTTACGCTGTTTAACATGACACAATAAGCATTCAACTCCTTTCGAAAAATGTTTTCAATGCTTTATGGATGAATTTTCAGTAATTTTTCTCTGATCATTTTTGTATTACTTTTGTGGATAATTTAACCCCAGTTTGGTAACCGCAGCTGTAATGCATCAGCGGCAGGTTCCAGGTGGCCTGAATTTATTGAGAACAAATTACGGTTTCGCTGATTTATTTTTTCGCAGTAATTTCCATATTCACTAGTGATGTTTACGAATGCAAAAAAAATCAATTGCGATTTTTGCTACATATTTCTGTGAATATTTTTCATTCGCCGAGACCTTGCTACGAAACACACCGATGACTGTATAATGCCTTTTGATATAGGAAATAATTCCCTTCTGTGTGTCATGCCGTTTAGGCTCAAAATCATTGGCTCATGCTGAGCTGCAGGACTAAAATGTTGCTGAGGCTCTCACGATTGTTTTAATGCATTTGTCAATGTTTTGTCCCAGAGAATATTTGTTTAAGGTAAGACTACATGCATGCGTAATTCCTAAAATTTACAGTCATGCCAATTTTCTCCAAATTTTTATTTTCCTGCTGTAGGTTCAATTTCGTTCCAATTTAGTTCACTGGGAGGTTATCCGCTGACAAGCGCTGAGCGTTTAGCCCCTGAGGACTTTCATTGCCATAGGAAAACATCCTGTTTATTGCGTGTGAGCTTCTCTCGCGTACCTCCATGCATGCAATCTCCTAATGAAAGCTTCCCTAAAAACGCTGCGTGGCATTTTCATGAGTTTCGAGAGAAACTTGAAGACGTGGTTCTTACTGTAATATTCTATGCTAAATTCAACACGTTCAATTTTTGGGTAACAAATTTGGAGTGGTTGCCTTGCAGCCGCCGTGGCTATGCTGCCTCAATATAGTACGAAAGAAAATTTTTCAGTTTTGCAGAGTAATTAAGATCGTCGTATGAACAGGCAGTTCTATGAGAAATTAATTCGATCTATCAAGTAAATGTAAATATCAAGTATCAACTTCTCCACGCGCCAACATTTCTTCTCGCTTCGAATCACTGACATGTGGAACAGCCTCCCCGATAACATCGTTAGCGCCCCAAGTATGAACGCGTTCAAGAACAGACTAGATAAAGCTATGGAAAAATATATGTTCAGATTTGAAATGCCTAGCACCATATCGAACCCGGTGGAAATCGAGTAGCTATTTCAAACTTTCGTCAGTCGTGAAAATATCCGGTCAAATGACACGATTTAGATCTTCTGTGAACAAGGCACGAAACGGAAAAGAATCGGCGACAGGCCACATCAGGCCTACACTTCAGCGCCGAGATCACTATGTTATGTTATATTATGTTAAATGAGTTACCATAGTTGAGCGGCTGCTTTATTTTTCACTTTAATGTAATGTTTTGCTTATTTCGCTTGCCGGGCGGCTCGTTGGTAATATGCATTACGTCTGAAATGTACAGCCATGAACTGTGTATACAACGTACGAACAGAATTTTGACTCCAGCCAATGACCAGGGGCCATACTTTCATAACTCGCTAAGTGAACGTAAGTACTTACGCTCTACTTTTTTGTCTATGATTGGTGGATTTGGCTTGAAAGGCCGTCATTGATTGGCTGATGAACTTACGATCGCCTAACTTTTTTTGAAAGTATAGGCCCTGAACGTTATCTTATCAGAAAAAAAACCTGGTATGAAGCAATATTTTAATTTTACGATAAGCATCTATCGTACAGTCCATATCCATAGAGAGGAAATCCGTAGTTTTTTATGCTGATGACGTCGCCTTCATGGCGATGAAGATATATTAGATTCATTCCCTTGAGGGTTACACGAGTTTCTGTCACTGGTGCAAGTTGTGATAATTAATTGCAACTCTCTTGGAGAATTTCAAATCGTTTCCTTCGATCTCTTTCTTTGAAGCAACACAAAAGTAGCAGATTGTAACGGTCCAATAAGTGAAAAGTTCAATCAAATAAAGATAGGTTCAAACTAGTTTCTTCTTCTTCTTTATGTTTGGACTCGGTGATTTCTTCAGCGGTCGAGAACGCTCGACTGAAACCTTTATTTCCGCCTCATTAAAGCAACGCCCGTCGTGTGCCGCTCAGCTGAACGATTCTCTTGCTCGGATGAGCATTTGTGCATCAAACGATTAGCGTTAAGACTCGAGTCTCGTACTGCCGCATCGTCGTTGCATCAAGAATTATTAGGTGCATCACTGGGTCTTGGTCTTCCTCTTATTCGTCGCATAAAAAAGAATTGTTTAAGACGCATCACTAAGCTTTGTCTTTCATCGTCTTCCACGTATCAAAAAGACTGGCAATTAAGCCCATTGCTAGGTTCGTCTACCAATTGACTAGACACTTGAATTATTATGCGTGCTGGACCATTATATATGGGAAAAGTTTGATATTTAAATTTTAGTATACGTAACTTTAAATTACAGCTATTTGAATAGAATTTCGTATTTCTTACTGATTAATGAAAGTGCGCATGGATCTGGTCCTGGATTTTTAGATTCTAGATCCATCTCTGGACGTAAACGATCTGTTCTTTGTAGTCTGGAAATATAGTAATTCCATTTCCTGGGCTCCCAAAGAACTGCAGCCCAAGGAGGTGAGTTTTAATCCCTCCAGTTGTTGAATTCAGGGTCCGTACGTGTACAGCTTGTTGACGTAGGCCGTTCCTGTGTACCGCACTTCCTAAAACGTTCAAAAATCCCTACAACGTCCCTCACTCCCTACACCGCCCCTCACTCCCTACACCGTCCCTCACTCCCTACACCGTCCATCACTCCCTACACCGTCCCTCACTCCCTACACCGTCCCTCACTCCCTACACCGTCCCTCACTCCCTACAACGTCCCTCACTCCCTACACCGTCCCTCACTCCCTACAACGCCCCTCACTCCCTGGACCGCCCCTCACTCCCTACAACGCCCCTCACTCCCCACAACGCCCCTCACTCCCTACAACGCCCCTCACTCCCTACAACGCCCCTCACTCCCCACAACGTCCCTCACTCCCTACACCGTCCCTCACTCCCTACACCGTCCCTCACTCCCTACAACGTCCCTCACTCCCTACACCGTCCCTCACTCCCCACAACGTCCCTCACTCCCTACACCGTCCCTCACTCCCCACAACGTCCCTCACTCCCTACACCGTCCCTCACTCCCCACAACGTCCCTCACTCCCTGGACCGCACCGTCCCTCAGCCTGATGCGCGGCCACTACAAAGGCGCTCTGCAAATTTGTGGCCGCGGCGGTAGCACCAGCGCTCGTGATGACGGATGGTCAGCGGGTTTAGGCTTCTGCTGAGTTTCTCTAGCCGCAGAAATAAGGCATTTTCCCTAGTGCCTTCTAGCGAGCAGCCAGATCTCATCTCAAAAAGTTCTGAAAAATGCGAGCTCTTCATCTTCTGAATTACGTCTGTCCTCTTAGAGTCTTGCGAAGGTGATACATGCCATCGTGAGAGCATGTGATGTCGTTTGCTCATATAATTACGTCTTTTGTATGTGCTCTGGGTTTTCTACAGTTTCATGATAGAATTCTTAAGATA